GGAGTTTTTTCCTCATGTCATCAACTTCCAATTTCCCATTAGAATCAAAATCTTCAAAGGTTATGGTTCTTTTCTTTTCTATGGTTGATTTAATCTTTCCATGCCTTGCAAAATAATCATTGGTGGGTTAAAATGATTTTAAGTTTATTCATTTTAAAATACTTTCGTTGCTAAACTTATAGTTTATTATAGACTATTATTGAATAAAATCCAACTCTATTAATCAAGTGTAATTCAAGTGAAGAAGAGTTGAATTATTTTAAGGATTTTGGTGGTGTAGTGATTGACTTCTTCTCCTTATCTTGTTCCTTTGTGTCTTCTGAATTTCTAGCTGTAAAGTTTATGCATAAATATGGTAATTTTTGTCAAAAGTTAGAAATGTATACAAAATTGTAGATCTGTCTTGCGAGGGTTATAGAGGCCATTCTGCTCTGAGTTAGACAAAATCGCTACAGGAAAAATCTTGTGGAAAATTGATTCTAGTTTGTAGAAACTCCAATATAATCCAATTTGGAGTTGTAGAATTTGATTCATGCTAAAAAAACTTAACAACGTTCAGGTTGGGAAAGTTTTAAAACTCAACAACATGAATTGTAGTCAAGGTTGTGCAATCAGAACTCAATGGGTAATAGTTGTTACTGGTGTACTATTAGACGAGGTTTTGACAACTTTAAATGAGTGCATTGCTTGAGGTAGTGGAGGCATTCGTCAAGATTAAGGTGAGTCAATCCTTATTGCAAAATCTAGTACTTTTTTGCGAATGAATTGATTGATCCAAATTTTATATGTTGCATTGTGAGTCACTATTGGTGTATGTTATATGTGTTGGATTTGTTGAAAGTCTACTATGGGAATATAACTTGGGGTGTCTTGTATACTAGACGTTTTAGGTGATGATTTGGTGTGAATTGTGATGGTAGGTTTATGCTACTGTGAGGACTATTGTTTGATTGTGATATGTGATGATTATGCATGCTATATTGCTCGAAATGCATTTGCCTATGATATAGGATAATTGCATGCTAGTGATGTAATATGCTTTAATATGGTGTTGATAAAATATACATGATTACATAGTGATGAATAGTGATGCAATATGCTTTAATATGGTGTTGATAAGATATGCATGATTCCATAGTGACGAAAAGTCATGTAATATGCTTTAATATGGTGTTCATAAAATATGCATGATTACATAGTGATGAATAGTGATGTAATATACTTTAATATAGTGCTTGATAAATTATGCATTATTACATAGTGAAGAATAGGAATGAATCTTATGTGGCCCTTGTGTGTGAATTAAAAACAAATTAATATAATGTGGGGAAACACATAGATGGGCCAGGGTAGTAACCTAAACCTAGGTGCATACCCTATCCAAATTTAGTGATGGCCTAATAGGTTTAAAGAGGGCCTATAGGAAAACAGCTTAAGTCAAAGCGTTGTCGAATGGTTTTCTAGACGGGCATTTTGAAACATGGTCCCGGAAAAGAGGCATGAGTGATGTTGGCTATTTGAGGATGTCATATAAAACATCACGTTTGAGTGGGGGTAACAACATAGAAAATACTAATTATACCACTCTCGAAAGACAACGCAATATACTTGTACATGAAACGTCGAAGTAGTAAATGTAGCGTATCGGGGGAAATGTAACGAATGAGAGCCACGCCTCACTTATTCCAATGGTTCGAGTTGGTCACGTTAGTAGTGAATGAGGAAATTCTTTTTGGTTTAGCGATGTGAAAAGGTCAAAGTAGCAAACACAACTAATCGGGGGAAATGTTACAAGTGAGAGTCACGACTCACTTAGTGCATTGGGTCGAGCCGGTCACATTAGTAGTGAATAGGGTAATTGCTTTTGGGTTAGCGATGTCATAAACCCTTGATAGCGATGAATAATGCTATGCATAATAATAATAATAATAATAATAATAATAATAATAATAATAATTTAAGGTAATTACTACGGAGAATAAAGCGATATATAATAGATGATTAATATATGCAATATATTTTAGTGATGTTATGTGTATATACCAAGGAATACAATGTGATGATAATTTGATTGATTGATCCATGTGAGATATGTATGTTTTCTTTTACATTGTACTTATGATTGGCTCATGTATATGTTGCTCACACTTGCTCATTGCTTGTTATGTTTCTCGTGTGATGGTTCAAGTTGATTAGGAGTGTCGCTTGGTGAGCGGGGGAACTTCTGTTTGAGTATTTATGATTTTAGTTATGTTGATACCACTTCGATATGTCTTGTTGGTCATCATCGTGTTTTTGTATTATCAGACTTAATTGTTTTTTATTTGTGTGGTTTTGGTTTTAAACGTAATGTGGTGATTGTTTTGAAAATGTTTTCTTTAGTTTATTAAAACATTGAGTACTTCTAATGGGTCCAATAAGCATAACAGTGATAATATGAATAAACACGGTATTAGTTGATAAAAAAAAACAAAAAAAACACGATAGCAATTAGAATGCAAAAGATATTAATTTAAATTAACATTATTAAACTAATTTGAATGAAGAATATATAGTTATATACTAATCTAAATGAACATTTAGATATTTTAATCCAACTCATTAGTATAAATGAATTGATTTTCAACATAATCATTCACGAAGTTCAAATGTCTAAATTTATGATAATAATCATTCATGTAATTCAATCATATTATTAATCTTTTAATTTAATTGATGAATGTAGAAGTCGGAAGAAGGAAGACATAAGAATAAGAGTAAATAAGAGTAGAATTGTGCAAAGCTCATAATTAAAAACTTTGAACGTGATTTAACTATTTATACAATTTCTCTAACCGTAAAGACTTGAGAGTTAGAGACTACCTCGGCTAATATGTTCGACCGTTTCTTGATTACCTTATAGGTCGTAAATTAATGATTTGTGGATTCGATATCACCCATTTTTTATGACACATGCGCACCATCTAATAAACAACAATAATTGTACTCAGTATGTTGTTGCTTCCCGGTTTTCGGAAGTGTATATATTTCTAGCCTTTCAATTTAAGCTTCCTCCCACTTCCACGAATTTATGAATTTAGAATCATAATTATTGGTTCTCGAAGAAACCAAATCTTTTTTTCAAGTTCTAGAGTTTATTCTTTATCGAAAAAAAAACTAAAAATATCTAAATTCATAACTTAACATTATGAATGTTAAATATATTTTTCGAATTCACCATGTAAATTTAGATTAATATTGTGAATCTTCAATGATTCACATTGTGAATTTGACAAAAAAAAATATCGAATTTGATATCATTGGAAAAAGGATAAAAAGTTATGAATTTCTGTATTATTAGTTTTTTTTTTTTTTTTTTTGATAAAAAATAAGTTCGAAAGGTTGAAAAAAGATTGGTTCCTTAGTTAATTATGGTTCTCTATTGAACCTCACCCTATATATATATATATATATATATATATATATATATATATATATATATATATATATATATATATACACACACACACACACTCACACACACTAGGTTTTTTACCCATGGGCACCACCGGTGAGAAATTTAAAACTTTTTTTTTAATTAAATTGTAACTTATTTATTAAAAATTGATAATTGATAAGAAAATCATTAGTAATTAAAAAGTGTATATATTTTGCAGTAAGATGATAACATAACTATTGGTTGAAATTACGAACCGATAGTGGTTTGAATATGCAATTGGCGATTTGTATTCGTAGATATGCAAAAAAGTTATAATTTTATAAAATGAAATTTAAACTTAACTAAAACAAATATTGAAATTTATATAAATAATAGAATTGTACAAAGTTTTTTTACAAATTTCTAAAAACTTCTTTATACACAATATTGGATGTTTTATTTGTTTGTCTACCATCCTTATCTAAAATCAACAATTTTAATCATTCTCTATTTTGAACTCTAGATAAAGCAACATACAATTCACCATGTGTGAAAACAGGCTCCTTGAGAAACAAACCAACCTTCGATAAAGATTGTCCTTGGCTCTTATTAATTGTCATTGCAAAACACACAGCCAATGGAAATTGTCTTCTTTGGAATTTGAACGGGATGTTGTCTTCAGAAGGATTTAAAGACATTCTTGGAATAAAAGTCTGGTTTCCAGTCTTACTTCAAGATAAGATAACTGCCTCAATAACGTGTTTGCCCAAAGATTTAACTTGTAGTCTAGTCCCATTACATAAGCCATTTTTCTGATCAATGTTTCTCAATAACAAAACTGGAACACCGACTTTTAAAATGAGCTTTTGTTTGGCAGACCTGAGACTTTAAGACCATTTAAAAGATCAGGTGAGTATAAATTTGCACCAAACTCATCATGAACAAACTCGGGTTGGCATAGGCTATTTGAACTTAAGTATTCTTTTTGTTCTCCTAGAAACAATAACAACAAACGATCGTTTATTTCTTGGACAACTTCATTCTTGGGAGCTAGTATTGCTCTTTCTTGAAAATAATTAGCAATGTTGAAGTTTTCCAGTATAGAAGGATATACAAAATTGATTAATGAACATATAGGATCATATGGATTAGTAATAACAATATCTCGTGGAATATCAACAATCGCTTCACCGTCATTCGGACCACCAAGATTACCTTCTTCTATGTTCAAAAGCCAAGTTGCAAAATCCCTTATTGTTCAATAGCAGATGGATCGCTTCCATCAGTTAACCTCATGTTTTTTGTTAATTTATGAACTTTGCACTGTTGCCATAAATAACAAGAACTTAAAGAAGCATTAACATTGTTTTGTCTACTGCCACCTAGAACAACAGGTAGAATTTGTCTAAAATCACCTCCAAAAACAATCACTTTCCCTCCAAATGGGATATTTGAATTGATAGGATTGACACACTTTAATATATCCTTCGGAGTTCGATCTAAAGCTTCGAATGCATGTTTGTGTACCATGGGTGCTTCATCCCAAATGATCAATGAGGTTTTTCTTACTAAACTGGCAAGATCACTTTTTGGATTTATTCTATAAAAAGAATCATCAGTAAGATTTATGGGAATTATAAACCAAGAGTGTGATGTCCTGCCTCCAGTCAATAATAATGAAGCTATCCCACTTGAAGCAACATTTAAAAAAATCTGACCTTGAGCTCTAATTGCTGCATAAATTGTCTTCCAAAAAAATGTCTTACCTGTTCCACCATAACCATAAACAAAGAATACACCTCCACTGCATCCATGATATCAAGAAAAATGTCCTGTTGCTCATTTGTTAATGCAACAAACAGCCGATCAAACACGTTCTTTAAATTTGGTATGTCATAATCTATCTCCTCAGTAATAAGACGATTGTTTGAAGATAAAACAGAATCAGCATCTGGGTAAGGCATCTTTCCATAATTTTTAAGACTGGAATTGTTACGGAGTAAAATTTATTCTATCTCAAACAAAGTCAAGCTTTTAAGTTGATCTTCATTTAGTGATAAACCTCTACGTAAAATAATATATTAATTAGAACGTATAAAAAAACAAATTGATTAAAACGTAAAATATAATTGAATTTATACTAAAGTTTTATATGATACGCTTTTAATAATAATGAGAAAATTTTAGATTACCTGGAGACTTTAATCTCTGTTGTTGATTGTAAAGAATTCCATCTGACAGGTATTCCCAGGTGTTTTGCCAAACAATCTCTGGTTTACACAAACTGTTGGACAATAACATCGTAACAAATAAGAACCGTAGATAAAAACCATATCCAGAAAGACTTGCTTCCTTAATTGCATCGATAAATTGTTTGTCATCATCTAAAAGGCCAAGATTATAACACGCATCTTTAAAAGAAGAACATAGTTCACCATTGACTGTGCGAATTTCTTCAAATGATTTAGGACCTTTCACTTTATTTAAAAGAATTCTTAAGAAATATGCTTCTCCAAGTTTAGGTGAAACCGAGTGAATTCTACCAATCGCATATCCAACTTCCCCTGGCTTCCAAATCAGACCTTTAAGTTTCCAAACAAAATTTGTAGGAAATTCAACATATGTAAGTTTTTGTGCTTCTTTATTGATTTCATTACACTTCATCCAAGATGTGAACATTGAAGAAGCAATTGAAGGGCGATCAAGAACATCTTCAATGTCATCGTCTGCCTTATATACAACTTGTTGTTGACTAGGAAGATGAAAAGGTAGTCTAATCACAACAGGATGCCTATAATGAACATCTTATTTAAAAATACACCATGATGCTTCACATGCAGAAATATATCTACAATCATAGTATTATTTAATTTCACCCACTGCATCGTTGTTATCAGAATCATTATTGGTTCGCACCATAGAAATGGTAGCTCTATCAGGACCCTTGTTTATATATTTAAACAAATACTTTATGGAAGATCCTTGATTGCACCATTCAACATTAATGTGTGTATGATATCTTTTCAACAGATATTTGTTGTATGGAACAACATTTCTGTTATCTAACTGAACACTAGATTTTTCAACAAAATGCCCATCATTTCTTCTACTGTATAAGGGAAAACCATTTGAATCAACTGAATTATGATTACAAAATTGCTTTGGAAAGTTTTTAGAACACTTTTTCTCAACCATGCATGGGAAATTCAAATTTTCAGCTCCACATGGACCGTGAATCATGAACTCCTTGACAAGTGAATACAATTCTAGATCATCATCGATATTTGGAATCTCAGTGGAAATAATGGGATCGATATATTCAACTGTAGGAAGCTTGCAGTCAGCATGCATAAACAGACATATATGACTATGAGGCAAACCTCGTTTTTGAAATTCAATTGTATAAACCACTGCATGCAAAATATACAAATAAAATATAAGTTAGAAACTAAAATTTGTTTAAATTTATACATTAAACTATAAATTTAAATATCTTTAGGAAAAATATAAATTATTATATTTAAATTTATAAATTAAACTATAAATTTAAATACCTACTTGAACCTTGCCAAAAACTTTATTTTCCCTTATATCTTTAATAAATGCATCCAACTTGATCTTAAATAACCTACGTAATATATCCTGTCTATCTTCTGGATGAAGTTGAGTGTCCTTCAGAAACCTTTGAACTTCTGGCCATTTTGAATTACACGTAAAGGTTATGAAAAAATCAGGATATCCAAACCATTTACAAAGCGACATGGCATCCAAATAGTTTCGCATCATATAGCGTGCACCATCGGTAAATGAAGAAGATAAGATCACACGTTGCCCGATGTTAGAAATATTTGTACTCCCAAGTGCTTGTTGATTACGCAAATTCTCATAAGACTCACATCTAAGAATTTTTTGTTGGTTACGTATGAAAAATAGTCTCTCACTTTCACTCATGGTATAACCATCAACCAAAAATTTCCGGAACAACCTTTTTGCATTAAGAATTAGTGAGAACGATTGATCCATGTCTTGAATTCTGTAAGCGAAAAATTCTCTCATTGTACAGGTCGGGCGCTTGCTATTACTTGAAGATGAAATACATCTATGAAGGATGTCAATTCTGTAACCATCATCACCATATGGAAATAGTAATGGATACTGAAGAGCAAGGTAAGAAGGATGTAATTCACTGATACGTTGTAATAATTCTGATGAAGTTTGAACAACAATATCTCTTTTTTCAATTGAATCACAAATGTCACCGACAACTAAAGTGGCAACCTCAGAAGAACTTGGTAAGTTATACGTCCTTCCATCTTGTTCTCTTTTTCCAATTAATCTAATCGTCAAATTAACACAAGGATTTTCATGAAGAGTGTCTCTTACTATCCTAAAAGACTTGACCAACGCATTTTTTGAATCTAACATATCCTTCAGAAATTCTATAATCTGGAGATCATATGATCTTGAAGTTGATGTAGAAGTGCTCGTTGGTCCACTGAAAACATTATAAAAAATTATTTAATGTTAGTAACAAAAATCAATGAATTGAACTGATTTATTAAAGTTAATTGTAAAAATATACCCAATACTTGTCGATCTAATTGATATCTCGTTCTCCGTATATATATATATATATATATATATATATATATATATATATATATATATATATATATATATATATATATATATATATATATATAGAGAGAGAGAGAGAGAGAGAGAGAGAACTGACAGAATTTTGGACTTGAACTAGGTGTAGGTAAAAGACTTCCCATGCTATGATAATTTTGATCACTAAGTTTGAATATGTATGGTGCGATGTCTCTGTTGATGGATGAATCAACTTTGCCTCCCATCAATGTAAATGAAAACATTGAATTGTAACGTCGAATGTTCTTCATGAAGTGTTTGCTTTTTGAATCTACCGATCTATACAGATTTCGGTATGATAACGGAGCCTCTTTTAAGGATGGTAGCTCAACTTTGACGTAACCACAACATAGGGAATAAGATGTATTGCCTTTTTTTTGCCTTCTAATCGATTCAGCTTTCCGTCATTTTGCATGACAAATTTGACATATAACAATCTGGTCTCCATGATTCAAGTAATTTGTTGAATTCAAATAATATAAAAAATAATAAAAAACTAAATTATAAAATAAAATTTAATAATATTAAAACTTTTAGAATTATGATCACCTTTGGATATACCGCGGAAAATATCTTCAATAATATGATCATCAATATTTTCTTCATCTAATGTCAAGTTAAACATAGGTATAGCGGATATAGATGGGGTCTTCCTTTTTAATTGATGTTTTCCTCTTGGTAACTTGATTGACGAAGAATTCTGGATTATTGTCGAACGATTGCTGGATGTCGTGGCATTACCAAACACCGAATTATCTTTGTTAATAAATAGTGGTGTTTGAAGGTTATTATTGAATATATAACTGCCTGATAAAAAAAATACAAATTACGACGTAAGCAATTCGCATGATTTATATAAAAGTGAAACATATATTTTTTAAATCAGTGTATTTAGAAATACGTACCATTTGATATGTTAGAAAATGGAGTTCTAACATTTATATTAGTAGATAGTGGTGTTTGAACGTTATTATTGAAAATATAATTGCCTGAAAAAATTAAAATACAAATTAGAATGTTAGAAATTGTTATGATTTATATAAATGCGAAACATATATTTTTATATTTGTGTATATAGAAATACATACCATTTGAAATTGTTGAAAAGGGTGTTGTAACATTTATATTTGTTGAAGGTGGATTAATAATTGTATGTTGATATACACTTGATTTGACCGAGTTTATATTTTCATTGTCTAAGGTAAAATTTGTATAGTTATTTGTAAATATTAATCTATGGCCACGGGTGTAGACATCTGTTATATAATGAGAAAAAATTGTTAGTAATAATAGAAATAATATTAATTATTAAAAAACAATAAATTAAAGAGTCGTGCAAATTTTATATAATTTTTATATTAAAAAAAATTAAAAATAAACAAATATAAATACCGTTATTCGACATGTAAGAAGCATGTGTAATAGATGAATTTTGATGAGTTGATATGGTAGGTAATATTTTGGATTTTCTATTATCCAAATATAGTTTTCTGATTTTTCTCCTCTCTTTAGCTATTGTAGATTTTGTAGTGCTATTTGAACCTGTAAAATAGTAGAAAACAATTTAAAGACATATTTTCTGATATAAAGTAAAATATATTTTAATTTAATTTTAATTTATTTTTTAAAATAATAATTAATAACATATTTAAAATAAATAAATAAAACATATAATCAATGCAAAATAAATTAAGAAATTACCGGATTGGGTACAATGAATAACATGTGAAGTAGGTGTACGATGAGACGATGATATCGTATATTGTTTTTTGGATTTTCTGTTATCCAAATATAACTTTCTGTTTTTTCTTTTCTCCATAGCGTCTGTTGCATTCATGTCCTTGTTTGGTATGTAATGACAATAATAGAATATTGTTAAAAACAAAATTAATAATTTGAAATTAAAAACGATTGGTAGGTCATGTAATCTGTATAAACTTGAATACATGAATTGATTAATAATAAAATAGAAAATAAACCGGGTCCGGAACGGGTTAAAGAGTATTTATAGGATAACCATATTAACGGGTCGGAATTATGTACCCGTTTACCGAATATTAAATATGGTTAGAATGTCCATTTCCGGACCAAGTGGTCATTTTGCAAAAAATAAAAAAGTTATAATTTAAAAAAACAACCAAAAAAATGTTAGATTACTCAATAAAAGTTATATTAAATCTAATGTTACATATAAAACGTTTCAAAACAACGTAGTTTTGATTGAAAAATATCTAAAATAAATTGACTTAGTTTCTTTTATTCCTAAATTCACGCATGTTTCCTTTGTCTTGTGTATTTTAATATTTGATTTAATCTTCTTCCATATGGAAACTCTAAAACATACGTGTGCATAAGATACATATTAATGCAACCTTTTCTTTTTATTATTTGAGAAAAGTATTGAACGGAAACAAGGAAATCCTTTCTCTAATAAATGAAGATTTTTTTTGGCCATTTGTCACACTCTCATTCAAATTGCCAAATGTCATTTTATAGTTATTTTGATTTAACTTTTTTTTCCACATGTTATTTTATCATTTTTTTATTTTATTAAATTATACATAATATTTTAATGTAATAATTACAATAAATGTAGTTATTTTTCTTATGACTAATATTAGTTATTTTTCTTATAAAAACAGTTTTGATGGAGATGATTCCCCTGATTCCTCTTCGAATACAAATACACTTATTCCATTTAATCAAGTTTGTAAGCTTGATGATTTCATACACAAGTATCAGTTCAAGAGTAATGCAGATGTTTTGGAACACGTTAAAAAAATTGTGAAGGTTACATCAGAAAACATTGGTTGAGTTTTAATTTTAACATCAAGTATGAAAAAATTTGTTTCTTTAGACTTATAAACAATTTTTTTTTTCATGTTGGTTGTTTAACATCGTGGTTTGGAAGGTTGAAACACTTGTTGAACATCATTGTTTGTTTTAGTGGTTTCTTACATAAATTATGGTTTATACATTATTTTTTTTGCATATTGCTCTTATAAAAAAACATTTGTTAATGTTATTATTTGTTTCATCTATTTCTTTAAGACTATTTAATAGCCACTCCAGGGCTATACATGCAGTGTGTTTGTTTAATATATTTACTGTTATATAACTCACAATACATGTTATTGTGTTTCCTTTTATTACTTTAACATTTTTTGTTTTTTAAATTATCTCATCAACAATATTCTCACAAAAAAGATATTTTACACTTTTATAATATCGCATTGCCTTTATCAAAATCAAGGTCTTTATAATAAAACCAGGTTATAAAAAATAACAAAGAAGAATGAAACATTCTTGTGAATGTTAATATATAATATTTTATTCAAACATAAAATTTGTCGATAATTAAAATATATTAAAATCAACTAACCGATAGCAATGTTTTGAGGATGGAGCAATGAGATAAGAGTTTGATAATCAACAAACTCAAAACCAAATGTAGGTCTAGAAAAGTCATGACACTCCGTAAGAACAGTGTTATGGACAAAACTAAGTTTATGACGAAGCTAAGTTAACCTCAAACCACCCATCCTTTGTGATGCAAAGATTGGAAATTTAATGTAAAATGCATGCTCATCTTTTAGAATATCTTTGAATCTGTAGATGTTTTTCGTTGAGACAATTGCTTGGATCTTGTTTCCCTAAAAGAAGTATGATATAAATTGGCATTTGTAAGTAAATTATATTAAATTTGTATGTGTAAAGAAAAAAATACTATTAAGTTACCTGTTCATCCATTAAGATCATGTCAGTTGAG